GGCTTTCATCGCGAGTTGGCAGAGCGAGACATCCGGAAAGCCCAGTTGCGCTTCGGACAAAGGAGCGGTGAACAGAGTCCATAGGTCTTTGTGGGAATGAGGGCGCTGGCAGAGACCGTGCAACCATAATCGATAACAGCCGCGCGTACCCATTCTCCTCATCGCGTTACAGAGAGACGTCAGTGATGTGAGATGGTAGTGCTGGGGCCAAACCTGGTTGAGCCGCGCCCGGTAGAGGAGGGGGGGGGGGGGGGGGGGGGGCGGGGCGGGAGGGGAGGAAGTTGACTTTCCCCTACCGTTTTAGAGCACAGCTCGAAACCGAACGCTTGCATCAAGACGCACGTTCAGCACCTATTCATCGATCAATTTGGCATCCTCATTTGGCAATAAGGTGTACATTTAAAGTTTTCATCTGCCAAGGTCAATAGCCTTGGTCAGGTCAAAGGTGTCAACCTCTATCAACGTTGACCACGCATAACTTTTTGGGGGTCATTATTTGTCATTGCTCAAGCTTGCTTTTGTGATAGACCGTGATAGTACCTACAGTTTGAATGCTTCTGATCGTTCAAAGAGGCTCAGTGGCTTGAGATCTGGTCATTTTTATACTTTTCTTAAATAATGCAAATGTGTGCACACCTTTGTGTAGTTTTAGTGTTTGTATATGGTGAAAAAGTGTCCATCGAAATCATCCTATGACCACATGGCACATAATATTGGCCCTAGTCATGACCTGTCTCTATGGGCACCTCTCACAAAACACATGCTGAGCTACAAACAGGCAATTACTTTAGGTGATTTTGAGCGCAGAATGCAAATTCTTTACTGAAAACATGATGTGATATAATCAGAATGCATAACAAGGTCACCACAGGTCACGCGATGATACGCAAGCTCTTATAATGTCATCCAAGGTCAGCGGCCCCGTGGTCAGCTGCGCGCATGCCAACGCCATTTGAAGTCTCTTATTTGTTCACCAACTTGTGATAGAGTTTGTAAAGGTAAATCCTGAAAAATAAATGCCGCCAACATGATCTATCACAATATCCTGCACACAATATTTGAGGGCCAGATTGTACCGGTAACGGGCGGCCGGGCGGCAGACTGGCCGGAGCCTTGACCGTGCTTCATGGCTAATGCGAGATAACGCGGCATACTGGGCCAGCGCACAGAACATTGTACTGGTGGCTTAGAAAACCAAAGAGAAACCTCAGAACAGCATTGTGGTGGTGACTTAGATCAGGCTAGCACTTCAGTTTTTTCTCGCGTTTGGATGGGTTGTAAATCTGACCTGAGTTGAACTCAGCTGACCTCTAGGTCACCCTAAACTGGTATTTTTGTGCTTGGAAATTTTTCCACAGCTGCACCTAATTAAAGTAACTTAGTCAGAAGCACATTGTGAAATAAAACAAAACAAGAATATCATTCTCGTAGTCTACCGATAGCCCACTTTTGAGCGGCGACTTGGCCAGGCTCTCGTGGTGGAACGGAAATGGTCGGAATGAACTCACCCATAGTATTAACGCTTAATTCTGTGCACTCAATATCCGTCTATACGTATCAACATATGTGTTAACTGCACCTAGTAGAACGACCGCTTTGAATCTCTCGTGACCTCTGGTAACCATACCCTTGGCCTAAGGTAAAAAAAATGGTGTACATCCTTTATAATTTGACGAGAGCTTAATAGCGGTATTCTCACTTTTCTCGCAGAACGATTGGAGGCTGGAGATCTGATAGGGATGTCAACTTCCCCCTAGCCGGGCACGGTTGTCTCAGACCCCCGGCCAGGCACAAGCTTAGCGCGGCCGTCACAACGGATGCTCTCCTATCCTTAAGTTGTTCGATTTCCAGTCTTATTTTCTTCATAACTCGTACCACTTCCCAAGTTTCTGTATTATATAGGCGAAAAACGTGATTCGTGTCTGAAACTTGCATGAAGCGATCCGTGTTGGTTTAGGGTCTGTTGATGCCAGAAATCGTACTGAGTTACGCCAAATACGAATAGTTTGATGAAAATAGTTTAATGGGCCAAGCACTGCATGGCCAGCAAGGTGGCAGCATTTGTGCAGCGTTTCTACGGCATCATGCATGCCTGGGTGATTTCGCAATATTCTGCACGAGCCTGCACACGTTCGTGGGCGTCAACACAGAAATCAGAGGGCTCTAAGCCATTAAAAAGGCAGGGCTGAAAGCAGGTTTAAATTATCTTTAATTGGCTGCGTCAACTGAAAACCTCATACAAAAAGGACCACTCTCTTTAAGGAGTGTCCTATCCTTGGGGCACATTTCAAACACCATCATCAATCTAGTGAAACCTCAAAACCAATTAAGTTTGATAGCAGTCACTGAAGCTCCATCAAGACATGATGAGGATGTAATTTCTACTTTTCGAGTCCATCTTACGCTGTCAACGCTTTGCAACAACGCAATGCTTCCTCCCAACAGTCGCGACCACTGTCATCATGGCAACCGCCGTGCGCACCTCTACTGGTGCAACCAAAAATTCGTTTGTGATTGGCCCAGCGGGCGGAGAGGGTCTGCTACCGAGAAGCGCACTGGTTGAAGTTTGAACCGGTGTGTCACTATAGACTATGTGATATTTTCATTCCCAAAGTCGAATTACACCTCGAAAAAGTCACTGTGTTTGATGCCATAGAGGAGAAATCAAAACCATGGTATAACGTTTCCCTGAATTCGTGGGACAGTAGCCCCATGCTTGCGTATCTTCTTTTTTTGTCTAAACAGAGCGTTTTAAGTGTTCTCAACATTTAGTACACACACATTTTGACGAATAAGTGTGTCGCAAACATTCAGAACAAGCACATTAAAAAAGCAAGGCAAATGAAATGCATTAGCTTCACCGGGGTGAACAGGAAGTCAAATGGGATTTCTTCCGCAGGAGATGCTACTTCAAATCGAAATTCTGAGATATCCAGAAGGTTTTTGAGAAAACTGGTCAACTGGTCAATTCGTGCGAGCCTGATCGAACAATAGGGGAATGGTACAAAAGGATGGGGCACTCCCTTTAAACCTGAGGTGTCAAATGCAGGACCAAGTGAATAGGCAATTTATGTTAGCCTTAAGGGCATTAAAGTTGGCGTTGGGTTTGCCTCGGTGCGACATTTGAACGTCGTCAGCGTACTCTATGCAACACCATGCAGTTTGTATGAACTTCAGGGTGCTTGGGTAAAGTTCTCCGATGCCTTTTTCAAGCCTGTAGATAACTTGCCTAAACCGACTTTGCTGCGCTCTTGTGCACAGGGCAACATCAGCTCCTTCCTCAAGGAAAGCAAAGCGAGACGACGCTTGTCAACGCGGAACGCCACGCCTCCGTGCTAAACCGGTTTTGGGCGCCCCTGGAACGGAGATGCACCGACACCTTGCAACTGAAGTGGCGCAGCAAGACGGAGCACACCACTCACTTGGCTTGAATGCCATTGAAGTGGCTAGAAGGTCATCTGGACATCGGCTGCATCGCCTGGAGGGGCGCCATCAGTTGGACAGTGAACTCGCCGGACCTTAATCCCATCGACTTCTCCTTACGGGTACATCGTAAGCCATACGTCTACAGACCAACAGCGGAGAGTCGGGATGAGCGCGAGCACAAAGCCAAGAATGCCGATCGCTACATCAAAAGGGAGATGAGTCTTAGAGCTGTGTATGAGGCGGTATGTGCCTGGTGCGAAAAGGAGGATACCTTGGACACAAGCTCCATGTGCCGCGTCGTTGGTATGATGTTGTCATCATAGCCAAAAAAGAAATGCACTTTCACTTCATGGCTTATATATTTGTACCAGTTCGATAGCAATGGGTGATATTTTAGCGTAATACGTGCGGCGTAATTGTGGGCACCCCTGTACTGTGTGATTTGTGAAGCACGGCGCGGCTGTCGAGCGGCATTGCTGACACCGAGTTTAGACATCGAGTTTAGACTTTTAGACTAGGCTTGCATTTAGGTAATTTGAACATACTAGTGACAGGATAAGAGCGCTCACGAGAATACATGTCATCAAGCTCGCCTACAGAACGTGACATGTGGCACACCGCGCTCCACGCCATTTCGTCTGTTGTCGAAAGTCAAAACGTTTTCCGACGGGATGCCGCGCAGTTTGGCAAAACATGCCAGGTGATTTACAGACGGTGAGAAACCTGCTCTTTGGTCGTGGGTTTTTGTCTTGATTTGTTCGGGTTGTCGAAGCCCATTTTCCAACATGTATCCATTTTTTATACCTGAGTAAACGTCACTTGCTGTAAGCAGTGACGCTCACCTGCACAAGTACGATTGCCCATCTTTTCAACCAAGTTTTGTCAGCTCCGTGCAGCTGCCACCCCCATTGTCAAATTCTAGCCCGGTTCCGTCTATTTTGTGACGATTTTGGACAATTACGTTTCCCATATGAATCGGAAGCGTTGAAATTGTGTGGGGAAATATCACGTGATATACGAGCTTGTTTCCTAAGTCTTTATGATTGCGTGGTAAAATATTACCGTATTGCCATTCGCGTCGCTCATAATGCATGGCGCTACAAACAGTAGTTGCGAGGAGGACACGAGGCTGTTGAAGGTGTCAACTGTCGCGCACGCTCGGTCAGTTTGCATAGTTCTTCCTAGTTTAGGCATGCCTCACTGGTCGTATGGCCTTGATTGTCATGATAGCATCCATGTTGGGAAGGTCATCATGGCCGCACCGTCCCTTGGCAACGGCTCTCGAAATATGTGCCGAAGTTTTGTGTCCTTGACAGACGCTGGTGTTCGCGTCCTCCGGCTTTTATAAACATGCTAATCCACTGCCAATGTGTACATGCAGTCAAGGTCAACGTAGGCCAGCCGGGGCTGCCTGCCAAATCGCACGACTGCTATTGGTGTCCAGCGTCCACCCCATGTCTGGAGGACTGGCGACGGAGACATGACCCACGTGACAGCAGGGCAGCCGCACCCTGGCCGAGCCCCCTCCCCCTCCCCCTCCCTGCGCCCGGCCGGGCGACGGCACTGTGTCTTCAAGCTTTGGGGACAGAGCCACCCGCGGCATAGGTCGCCTCCTCCTGACCTCACGTCGCGGTGCAATCATCCAGACCAGAAACTTGAATCCAGCGAAGACATAGCAAGGCCAGAGACAGGCGCACTGAGTGATGGAGCACAAGGAAGATGAACTGGTATTCTTTGTCAACGGAAAGAAGGTGGGTACTCGGCTATTTTTGTCCGTTTTCATCGTTAGATGTACAAATTACACGTCGTTTCTTAGAAACACTCAAGGCCTGGAGCGTCACGGACCATTGCTGCTATCGGTATATGTTTTATTGACCTATGCTGTGGCTTCATTGGTGAAATCCACGTCAAAGCTTGTATACTCTAAAACAGTTTGTCCCTTCATTTGATTGCAGTTTACATGGGTAAAGACTTAATTTTGGTTGCCAAGAAACACACACACCGGGGGAAGGGAGAGCGATAGGGAAGAAAAGGGAGAGAGAGAGGGAGGGAGGAATGGGAGAAAAACAACTTTTAACACAGACTTTTTGACACCGTATCAGAAATAACTACCCTTTAATTTGTAGGGGGTACGCAGGCCTATAGTTTTCAATGGCGGCTTCTTTTGGTGAATGTGAAATGACCCTAAAATGCTATGATCGAGAGAATCGCTGCATGACCCCAATACGGAAAATTGGCAAAATTAAAGGGAGTGTTACTCATAAAGGAATGACCTCGGATGGGCGAAGGGTCTGGGGTAAAGAGAATGTTGTCTCTGCGGTTAGGCCATCCCAAATGACTAATTTTACATGACAGCAGAGGCAGAACATTTGGGAAGCATGTCGTCAAGCTTAAAGGTATATAAAAGGTTCACAGATGATTGTTGGGGAAAGAAAGGGGTAAGTAATTTGCAGCTGGCTCAAAGCTCTTCTATCATTTACACCGACAGAGCAGTACAAAATAGCTATCATTTAGTTTGAGTGCCTCATGAACGGAGGGGAAATATTTGTGATTCAAGAAGACCTTTATTTAAGAAGCAATTGCTGTAAGTCGGAAGCCGTTTCCTTAGAAGAATTTTCTGAGCCCATGAAGTTCGGAAGAAAGGAGTTCATAGCCTGAGCTTCGGAAAGCTCTGCGGTTTCAACAGCCGGTTTCATGCCACCTAGGATAAAAACGTCATTGAGCGAGAAGAAAAGTTCACTTCGAGCCCAGTAAACGCAGGCTTTCTATACACAGATTTTTTGAATTATAAATATCGAAACATATAATTGACGGTACAATGATCTTGGCTCACTATTATGCAGAACGAGCGCAACACGTGTGTGGACGCAAACAAGTCAGCTTGAAAAAAATGCGCGATGTACCCCGTATGAGAAGGAACAGCTACCTTATAATTTGCAGGTGTTACGTATAACCATGATATCAAATCGCGGCTCTTGTGGTAAAAAATGAAGCAATTGTGTTGATCAATGTGGGTAAATTTTTCACTCGTCTTATCGTCCAATATTTTAAAATTGAGTTTCCAAAGGAGCAGGAGGGTGGAAATAGCTCCCGGCAGTTCAATGGTATGCGGGTTCTAAGGCTGCGAGGAAAATGTGAAACATCGGTGTGCAGACAGCCACGTTTACTGGGCGAGGATTGAGCTTTTCTCCTTCCCTCATGACGCCTGTAAGTTATGTGGCGTGAAACCGGCTATTTACAGAGCTTTTCGAAGTTCCAACTAAGAAGTTATTTGTTCCAAACTTAACCGATTCCGATCATTCTTTCAAACAGCTCTCCACTTGCAGTTATGCAATCTTTAAAGGACATGTCTACATTTGACGATAAACGAAGGCGACAAAGCATCTGAAAGAAGTATCTTTAAGCCCTTTAAAACATCATTTTGCACAAATAGGTGGTAGTGCGTGCGTAACGTTTTCAACTGGGCGTTTTTATATCGATAATAAAAACAAACTAGCCTTTACAGCACCGCGAAGTTGTGCTGGAAGTTGGTGGTGGCATTGGAACAGTAAAGATAGAAAATATATCTCTCGCACTGCTATAGCTGTTGATTTATACAAAGGACAACCTTAGAAATATTAACAACAAAAAACACATCCCAGCCTTATCTATGAAAGGCACGAATTCAGTTTCAAAGGCTTTCGAGATCCTTAGATCTCGAGCCCCATTTAGTTCCTTTCCTACTTGGGTTCCAGCTACCACAACTTTGAGCAGAGAGAGAAAGAGAGAGAGAGAGGGGGGGGGGAACAAGCGCGGAAAAGAGCCCGCTTGTCGGGGCGGACTGAGTCTTTTGCTACTCAGCCCCTTCTCTCAACTCATTTTCCGAAACTACGCCCCCGTGCTCAGTCGTTTCCCAGCTTGAGAGCCGGCGATGCATTCACGGTTGTCTGGCTGATCGGACCGGACGGTGACTTCTTGCCTGTGCGTGGTCCGTAATCCACCCGCAGTATGGTAGGCAGTCGTTTGCACAACACCCGTGATGTATCTTTAGGCGGTCATACTTTACTAAACCAATATTTCACCATACCTCCTTGCCACCCTCCCCTCACTTAGGTGCTTCAAACTCACCGAGAGATGGCAGCACGGTGCTTGAAGTGTTCGCTAGGCTAAGTATCGTTATGTACTCCTGTTTTAGCCATATATCCTTTAGTTAAGAAAGCTAATTTGTATTCATATGTTCGGCTATGGTGCTTTTCGTAACTTACCCTATTACAAGTCTTGTCTCCGGAAAAGCTGGGGGGATTTTATAACTCCATGAATTATGTGGCACAAAACGTCTAAGCAACGTCTGCAATATTCGGAAAATCGTGCTCGTATACGCCATTTCTGAATGACTGGACGATAGATTTACTCTTGGCCTTGTACGTCGCGTGACCTGAGGAATGGCACGATTGAATGACGTTGCTATTGCGTCACGCACCGCTGAGCGGGCTTGAGATAGTCTGTTCATCTCGCCTGGTCTTAGTCACATCATCTGGTCGAAACGCTGTGCATTTGGAAGCACTGATCGCAATAGATGTTCCTGGTCGTGACGTCAGTCCACTTACAAAGAGCAGATCAGCCTACCGTAGATTTTTGAGTCTTGGTTGAAACCAAGGCTTCACGAATCTAAGTAAGGCTGCTGCGCTCTTTACACCTGAAATTGACGCCACGGCGAGGAACGTCAGAGCTCAGAGGGTTTCAGAGTTATGCTGGAAGTTATGCACGTTCAAATAACAGGCGGTACGGGGTGAACGACTTTGCCACGCAAGCATTGGTCATATTGTTTATACTCGACGTCTCAAGCTGTGCTTAGGATCACGAGTGAACACGGCTAAGTAAAGTTAAGCAAAACAATACTTTTAAAATCCAGTGTACGGGAATTCATGCCTTATCTGTGTTGATACTGCCACTAAAAATGTGCCAAAGTAATGATTTATCCGAGCGTCCACATCCAGCACACCATATACGTCCCACGCTAGGGGCTGCACTGGACACGCACGGCTGGGTGAGAAGTTGACAGTGTCCAGTCTCGTGCGTTAGGGAGAAAAATTACTTATCACGAACATCAGGAAACATGAGCATTGTACGAGGCTAGCGAACATCTAGAGTTTTCGGGTTTGTGTGCTGTAGGGCCACATACACGACACTGCTTAGGGCTGTCTGGATGGCAAGGTTAACTAGTTTTGATGATCCGTACCAGGCATCAGAACATTAATAAAGCTGCCAGCGGGCATCCGTGTTCATCTCGACGAATCTAAATAACTTTTTGAATAACGCGCGTCCTTGTGTCGTCTTTTTGCATGGTCCCGTGCGCAGGTCAAATGACCTGGCATGTAAAAGTGCAAATTTGACTCGGCGCACGTGCGCACGTGCGCACGTGTCGACGTGTCATGGCGAGTGTCACGCTGGTGGGGTCACTGGGTGGCGCGTGGTGCGTGTTGGAAATTGCATTTTTTGCATTGGTTTAGCGTGGGCGGCGCGAAAAAACGAGTGGGGTCGAAATCGACGAGCGACCCTTCGAAACCGCGGCCGCATCTCGGCAACCGCGGGTTGGAGTGACGCCAAATCAACATGAGACAGAGAGTTAAGCACGGATTCACGTGATGTCGCGCGTGACGCCACACGCGTCATGTGCCACGTGCACGGGGGCAGCAAACACAAGTTTCCCCGTTTTGACCGTTTTAACGTGTTGTGCCAGCGCTTTTATTCGGTACACCTTAATAATATAATGCCGTGAAAGTTGCTGGACGTAATGGGAGCAGCGGCTTATAGCAATGCTTTTGACCGAAATCAGCTAGGTACGTTTTGTCACAGCGAATTCTAATCAGTGGTTCATGCGAATATTGAGAATACCGCGATTTGGAACACCGTGTGCTTCGTGAGAATGTCGGGATCACCGTGACACTCGAGGTGACCAAGCATAAAAATCTGTGCAAAATGAGCTCAAGCCATGGCAAATATGCCGGAATGGAATAGTTGCCATAAGCACAGTCCTCTGTATGCAATACACTCCCGAAAACTAAAATTGACGTCTGGCAATGCTGTCGCGACCCAGTTACGTGAAGAAATGTGTGACAGGTGCGCAGGACGTTTGCATGTGTTCATGTTCCTGCCGAACTTCTACCAGAACAACACTGTTTCCTGCATCTTCGATCGTCCATCACATTCGGACCATCGCTTCTTTTCAGGTTTCAGTTGCGTCACCGGATCCCGAGCGGACGCTGCTCTCCTTCCTAAGGGACAAACGTGAGTGCGGTGTTTGAATGGGCACAGAGGACCGGCGACAACTGGGTGACCGAACGGTAATGACCCAAGCCCAACCCCTGAGCCGGCGATCTGTGTCAACAGGCGACATGCACGCTCACTCGCTCCTCAAATGAGACCGAACGTTCGGTCGGCTGCGAAAAAGTGCCTGTTCTGCCAGCGACGAAATTTGGAACCGTCTTGATCGTTATCTGGAGCCAAACCTTTCAGAACCGTTCCGATTTAACTCTAAATGCGATATGCCACGAAAAGCAAGACAAATGAAATTTTGTGCGGCATGACTATCAAACATCTTCGTTTCATGAGTTCATTTGTACTGAAGTACCGTTTGCTGGTACTGAATGATGGTTGAGACCAAAGTCATAGAATTATAAGAAAAGGCATACTTAGCGTAACCAGCCTAGAGGTATGTAGTTTACCATCTAGTTGGGTGGAGGAGGGGGTCATGACTTCTATCCATGAATATAGTTTCCTATTTTATCTATAGTTTTATCCATTAGTTTTCATTTATCGTAATTTTTGAGTCCCCAAAAACTAATTTTGAGGAGCTTCACCCCTGTCCCCAACTCTGACAAGAAAGTGCGTCAGAGCTCGGGAGAAGACCGTATTCAGAGCATTTCATAGGCAGGATCAGCTATTTTTCTCCCTGCATCCCAGCTCACTCACCCCCACGTATTTTTTCAGAGCTGCGTACATGTAGCCTTAAATTTACCGATAGCATGGTTCTACCAGCACCTGAAAGCAATGTCCCTTTTGTTTTTGTGATGTCATCACACAATCGGCTGGAAGCATTGGCGACCTTTTGGCGACCTTTACTATCTGCGCTTAATAATTACCGGTGCAGAAGTCGCACTTCCTAACATGATCCCAACTGATTAGTGCGAAACTCATCCAAAATTGCTATCAACCGGTTCAAACGACATTTTTCAATACCTCTATCACATTCATTTTGTTTTGTATGCAGTAGGATGACAATAAAAAGCGCTCTGTCACACGCTTGTCCACCGATCAGTAGCCTGAGATTGAGGTGCAACGGGCAGTGTAAGAGGCCTACACCAGAGATGCTCGGCCTCGTACCTCACAGCTGCTGTTCCTTTCAGCAACAGGAAGCCCCGGACGAATCCTTGACATGTGTTGCTCCAACATCCCCCGTCTACTTCTGAAGCTACAGTTCAGCTGTTCACAAACAGTATCCTAGATCGGTACGGTTTTCAACTGTATTACTAGAGGCATCCTCCAAGGTAAACTCACAGAAAAGCCGCACAGCATCTTAAAAACTGAAGATAAGCCACGGTCTCCAAGCCAGTCAGCTTCTCACAACATGAACTGAACACAACCAACGGTAGCTCTCAGCCTTGCGCTGAACGCAGTTCATTACCGCGTGGCGAGCATTCGATCCCATTTGTCTCGAATGGCACGACGCCTTAAAACGTCACATGGATAACTGGTCACGTTCGTCGCAAGATGCTGTGGCCAGTCCACGATTCTTACGGCTAGTAAATAGCTTATTTTTTGTAATAGGTATGTGAAGTGAATCTTGGTTGAAAATCTGTCAAAAGCACTGATCTGACGGCCGCATGAAAAGCGTTGTGTCACCACTGATCTGTGACGTCTGCACTGATATACAGTACTTTACAGTAAATTGCTGTCAACTGCTTAAAACTATTCTCATCAAAGCTACTATGTTTGGCTGCATCTCGTGGCTCAATTTGCTCATGCAGCCAGACGTCAACGTTTCGACATGTGCTCTGCACATGCTCACGCTTCAAGCGTCAGCGAGTACAGACCACTTCTAAGCTTCGAGTTTCGTCTAGCTGGGATGGTCTGTTTTAGTATGGTCTGGTCTGCTGCACTTCTTGCTTCATCATCATCATCATCAAAGCTTCTTGAGAAAATCGCGTGTTCCGTTGCGACGTACGCCTAAAAGCTCCAATTTTGCGAGCTGTAGTTACCCTATTACTTGTTGCTGTGCGCACACCATCATTTCAGATCGACATCCCCATTTGCGAAAGCGTCCGTTTTCGGAGGTTATTGTCCCTTCAGCTCATCAAACCTCATTATACCACGAGCCTATATCATCCGGCAAGAAGTAATGATGTCAAGTTCATATTTCCAAGTAAGTGGGTATGGATTCTAGATGCGACTTTCCGACCCGCCAACCCGCCACATATGACGCACCCAAAGCCCGCGGTTTTTTGGTATAGCTGTAATTCAGTCGCCGGGCTGGAGGGGCAGAGCAAGGCTTTGTAAGGCTTTGCAGCACGCATGCATGCGGACGCAAGAATACTCGAGAAAAAGCCGACCAGGTTAACAAAACAAAATGTATGAACGCAATTTTACGTTTCCTATGCGAGAATGGCGACTTATAAATATTTTTTAACAGACCAGGACAAGCACCCCAGCGACTATGGTCAGTCTGTGATTGCATTATGTGGAACCCAGCATAAGTGGCCTGTAATATTAGTTTAACTTTCTTGAGCACTGCATACACTTAATGGAAAGGCAAACAAGGCCAGCCGAGCACAGGCATATGCACCGATTGTGGTGGTTAGATGGAAGGCACTGTCAGTTTAACCCTCATCCTCTAAACACGTCATAGGTTATATACCTAAGTCAAATGGTATCCAAGTAACCTGTAGTTCCTCCGCCAAAATGGCCCTATAAGGGCCGCTGCCAAAGCATTTGGTTTCAGCACGTGAACTGTGACATGACCGGACAGCACGCAGGCATCCTTACAATGTTAAGCCTTATGTTAAAGCCGATGATAAGAAAATCTCCTATGTGTTAGGTGTCATAGTCTAAAATGAAACGAAACTATATGAAATGCTAATCGTTACACCTGTACATCATCTCACATCACCTTTCGAAAAGACACGCTGCTATAGAGGGATATACGTACTATTGGAAGAGCACAATTATGTAAGTCAGCGACCGTATTTTGTCCGCTAGTAGAATCTATGAGACTAACATTATCAAGCCTGGGATTACATTTTATACCAGTACCACGATTCAGACGTGGATGATTCCGTTTTTAACTAATACCATTAACAGCCATTTATATACATGCCAGCCTCCTTTCGTTAAGTTGCGCCTGCAAGTGTGGGGGGGGGGGGGGAGAAAACCTGATCCAGAAGATCAGAACTTTAAACCAGAAGGATCATCGCTTGGATGACAAGACCGAAATGCAAAACTGAGCCGCTTAGGGTGTGATTTCATCCCAGGCATATCACATGTGTTTTCGTGCGTAGCCAGGCGTAGCTGTCGTCTGGTCCGCCTTGCCACGGACGGCCCCTCACGGTCCAACGAGGCCCAGCGTGTGCCTGCCTCGTCTGTTTATACCCAGCACAAGTAAACAGTCGACCCACATGTGGCGGAGGTCGCCCTAGCTGCGCGGGCCCCTCGTGTTGGACCGCAGCAGGAGCGGCGTCGGGTTTCCGGCGCCCAGGCCGTCTGGTGCGCGGGTGTCATGGCGCCGAAGGCCGCGAAGCTGGGGATGCCTGGCGTCCTGTGCCCTTTTCAAGCTGGCGACGCTTGAGATGGGAGGGCAGCACTGGGTTGACAAGGGCAGCATGCAGCGCACCTGCAATGTTGTCATGGTCAAGGCCACGGCGCCACATTCAATAACATTTTCATAAGAAATGCTCTTTAAAAACTTACGGAGGTCATTTAGCTGGCATGAATTGGATGAACACACTGTAGAGTGCCGTAAACATTAGCGTGAAATGAGGTACTGAATGCATCAGAAGCATGGTGCGACTGGTCTGGATTATTCTAAGAAAAAGTTAAAGGCGCGGGGCGTACCCCCCCCCCCCCTTCCCCCCTCCCCTCCCGCCAGGGTGGTGATGAGTTGAACTGCGTGGAAATGATAATCCGACTTCGCGTAACAGAATCTCAGAACTGCTGAATCCCGACTCGGTGGCTTTTTGAATACCGCAAAATAATCCCGACTGGCCGCGGTGCTCTGGCCATAAGCTATGCGGCACATCCTGCCGATGCTGAGAGGCCCATTCGCCGGGTGCGCGCATGTTACTACGGTTTACACGTGTGTATCAATATCCAACAGTGTCTGCTCTTTTTCAGTGCGTCTGACAGGAACGAAGCTGGTCTGTGGCGAGGGCGGATGTGGAGCCTGCACAGTGATGGTGTCCAAGTATAGACCGGACCTGAAGAGAGTTGTGTATCCTTTCTATGAAAATGCAAGACAGTGCTCGTTCTCACCAGGGTAATAGGTACCGGGTAGAGCGAAGTCCGGTAGAAAAAAACACAGCAGCGTGACGGTAGAAAAGAAACACTAGATTGGCGATGTAGGCTAGATTTCTACTCCATGCTAAATATTTGGCAGCTGATAACTGAAGGTAGCTTGGCGCGGGTGTCACAATAGTGAGGGCATCTTATATGTAACTGAATGTTGTGGCCAGACTTTTTAAACGGAACTCTCAAGGACCTGTACGCGTTGTGATATTGACAGGGTGTATTGGTTGATAGCAAGCAGGTTAGCATATGGTATAGGGATCATGTAGAAATGGTCTAGAATGTCCCGGGTTCAAACACACAGCCTTGCGATTATTTATCCAGCGATACATCGATTATTTGTGCTCTATCCTGTAATAAGTTCACGGCCTACCGCGCCCGAAAACTTTGACCCGGTGCGCCGTGGGAGTTTGGCCTTTTTAGACAAAACATTGTCAATGGATCGGCTCAAGACAATTAAGCTATATTTCGTTCGATGCCAGGTTCGTCAAAATTGGCCTGATAGAATTTGATTCACAGCTCTGTGAAAAACAGGTCTTTAACATGTAAACCCTATGGGCTAGAAGGAAAAGTACGTCATGGAGCGGTTTTCCTACCAACGTATATTTGTGAGGACTGCGTTTTCACGACGGCGTTTTGCTTGAAATGTTTGAAATATCGGAAGTTTTTTTTCTGGACATTTCATAGAAATTAAGGGGCCCTGAGAAGTTTTCAGCAAATAATTCATACAGCACGTGTTGCTCTTCCCTCAGGGTCACCTCCTGTAGCTGTCTACCTCTTGATTCCTCCAATTCAATATTTTTAGCGGAGAAATAATGGTTCAAAGCAGCGCTGAAGACAGACAGTCATGCATTGCTTCCCCATTTTGTTCAGAAAGTCTTAAAATATTTCAGGTAGTAAACGTCCGTGGTAATGGCTAGCAGCTATCGCATTATTAGTGAAAAACATGGATGCATGTTTCAGAGCGCCACCCAGCGCTGCGCATGGCCCGCTTCTCGCGCGCCTGGGACTTAAAGTATGCATAAATATGCCGACTATGAAGCGACATTTCACAGACACCTCCAGAGCAGGCATTGACGTTTTTGCCTGAGTCTGCGGGAAGAAGTTCACACACATCACGTCCACTTGTACCAAATACAAACAGTACCAAAACCCAGCTGCGCGCCAGCCATGTTTTTGTGATCATGCCAACAGGGGCGCGGGAAGTGTGTGTATGTGAGGGGGGGGGGGGGGAGACGGCTCCCACACGCCGGGTGCTTCAGCGCGTCTGCCAAAAAAATCAGCCGAACAGGTGACGCCTCCGCGTCTCATGCACTCTCCCTGTCAGCAAAGCTACCACGGGAGGATTGCCGGGTGATAAAAACGGTATGGACTGGATACACTATTTTTCAGGCCGCCAGCCCGACAATTTCTGACCCGCAAGAACCCGTGGGGTTTTGGCTGCGTGATGGGTTAGGCTTGGCGGGTTCTTGCGAGTCGAAACCTTTAGCGGGCAACATAGTGTATTTTGTGTTATTCCTTAAGTTTTAAAATTGTCCCTTAAAGACACATTTTACTGAAACATTCAAGAATAATGACCCAAATTCTCAAAACCATAGCCAGCTGGTATTGGGCAGCAGTTAGGTGGGTTATTAATATAAATGTAGCTACACACTGCACTTGGTTGTTACATGGTGAGGTTGGGGTGCGTTCAACCCTTCTTGGCTTACGCAAAAGCCACACCTCACAAATCACAATCAATATCTGTGATTAATGAAATGCATAGGAAACTGTGAACCATGTCATTGTGGCGGTGTGGTGCACTCAACCATTGTTGATTGTCACAAAAATCATGCCTTATAAATCACAATCAATATCCACGATCGATGATATGTTAAGGAAACCGTGATCCCTCCATTGTCCTACCTCCACTCACTTGACTCAGCCAGCCGTTACTGGCGTATCAAATGCGCAACAGTTGTCAAAACTGAAAAAGTCGGTGGCATAGAGTTGGTTTGTTTATGTCGGAAGGAGATGGAATTTGTGACCAGAATAACAAGGTTCTTAAACAGTGCGGTTTTTTTCCCCATACCGGAATGTCACCATTTTTCAGCACATTTTTTA